GACAGTGGTTCAGTGAAGGTTTTCAGACTGAATCTGTTTCCACTAAGGGTGGAACAGTTCACAAAATCCATGTTCGGTTCGGTTCACGGTTTCATAGTCACGGTTTTCGGTTCGGTTTGGTATATGTTGATTGTTAGGAAAATCTATTATGTCTTGCATAGTATAACACGTGTTGCACAATGTTTGCACACTGTTGCACTTTTATCCACAACTTTCTTTCCGCCGTCATCGTAGGTCACTCTAAATGCAAAGCGGTCCCATACAGCAGACCTATAAAGTGCTGCTGGCGCATCTTCCAACTCCTGTTCTTTCCCACTCGCCATACCCACACAATTCTCCACAACAACTGATTTTTTTCCCTGCTACACTAAGCTACTTCGCTTCTTCTTCTTGTTTAATACTGGTGGTTGGCTTTGGTCGCAGTACCGCCACCTTCTGCTCTGGAGTGTACACGCTTCGTCTATGAGAAAAAGGATGAACCGAACGCAACACACGCGAATCGAGCCGAGACAGTCGAACCAAACGGTTCGGACGGTTTTCATAAACCGTTCCATCCCTAGTTTCCACTGTCGGCCTCAGGCTCACATTTGCTTTCTTTTGCTCTGATGTGGTGATTTTCTAAAGATTCTCTACAAAACGAGTGTAAAGTAAAGTCTGTTCACCAATGAGAAAGGACTGTTGGTGTATTGGCACTTTTTCTATATCTTGTTAATTAGATTTAAAGTAACGCTTCTAAAGATCCGACTTTAGCTCATATGTGGCTGGAAACTCTCAGCGTCCGATCAGTTAATGGTCAAGGTTTATTTAGTCTACCTGTGTAATCATAACTAATCATATCTCCTTATCACCTGCAGAACTACTTTGATGGAAAGCTGTCGCCGCAGGGGAAGATGCCTTGGATCGAATACAACCACCAGCAGGTGTCAGGCTCAGAGTTCATTGTGGATTTCCTGGAGGAGAAGCTGGGGGTCAACCTGAACAAGAACCTCACCCCGCAGGAAATAGCTGTTTCCAGAGCTGTAACCAAAATGGTGGAGGAGCACCTCTACTGGTGAGGATGGGGGGGTCAACAACTTCACATAATGAAATGAGTAATGCTTTAAATTGGTCCATTTTCTAATCAAGTTTGAGATTTTTTGAGCAGCAGGAGGAATGTCATCTATTTAACATTTATTTTCCAACTCTGTAACATAAGCATTTAAAACAAACAATCTGCTATATGAACTCTAGAGAAAACAGAGAAACATTTTCTGAAAATGGATTTAAAGTGTAGAGAAATTATTAGATTGGTGGTCAGATTATGAAAGATTGTATTTATGACAGTTTGGTACTAAGTGAGTTTATTTTTAATGGCATATTGTTTCTTCTTGGCGTGCTGATAAGACCGTTGGAGTGCTGGTTTCCTGAGGGTTTTGCTGATGTGCTCCTCTGGGTGTGTTAAAGTCCTAGGGAAATAATATTTAAATGTCAAAACTTCTGGCTTAAACATGCATATAAATGTACTATTTATCAGACAATATTGTCCCAAAATTTAGAAAATTTCTATAAAAAAAAAAAAACCTTTTTTTTTTCATTATCTTCTGCAGGCCAGTTAGTTATACGTCAGCCTGAACACCTAAATTCAGCCAATCATATATCAACGGTCATCTGTCAATCACATTTTTTCAGTCATAGCATCTTCATTCATATGTCGCAGCTAATATATGCAACGGTTGAAATAAGAAATAAGGATCATTTACTTTACCATTGAGTTAAGTCCCAGTGTTCACGGGGATAGACGTCTGTGACTGCACAGATACATTTTTTAGGTGGACTTTCTCACTTAAAAACATATTAAAACTCATTTATTCCCACTGATCACAGCAAATATAGCTGCTAGTGAAAGACAGGATAGTGTAGCTCCACCCAGCGCGCATCAGACCCACTTAACCTCAGTGCAGCTGAAGCAGCGCATTAGAACTAAACTTATACAAGTTTAGTATAAGTAGCATGCACATTTTTGCTACTCTTGCTGCTTTAGGTGTGAACGTAGCATGAGTGCTTAAACATGTACGGCTGTAAGCCTTCTACACCAAACCAAGCTTCTGCCGCCCTGGCGTCCTCTTCACAACATCTTCGTCCCGCTTTCCTCCTCTAAATAAAAAATGGATGACCGAGGAGACTCATCTACGACCTCTGACACTAAACTCTCCTCCTCTTGTTTCCTCTGTCCATAGCGTTCCTTGACAGTGTCGTTTCTAAGTCACCAATTTAGTGCTAATTGGTCCCAATGGAATTTCCCATTGGGAACCTACTAGCACTAAGTTGCTAACTGGTTAGCAAGATGCTTCTGACAAACCGGCCACAACCAAAGTTGCTTGCGAACCCTCCGCCACAACAATCCCGCCCCCTTGATAAACGACCAATCACATTCACTTTATTCACTCGTGTCAAGTCGTGCACCACTCGGGAGAATTTGGAAATGCAACGATTGGAACAGCCGCTTCCATATGACTTTAAATAGAGGTGTGGGAAAAAAATTGATTTGGCAATATATCTTGATCTTTCAGTTCCTAGTATCGATTTTGAATAAAAGTACAACAATTTTTCCTAAAAAAATGAGGGAAAATGGGCTACCTCTGCCATTCTGGTAGATAGCGCTGTGGAGCCCTTTTGCTGTGCTACACTGTAGTTGAGGTAGTAACAGTGGAACCTTGGACTAACTCAAACCCCAAACAGCATGGATACCAAAATAGCTAAATGATTAAGATCTTCTAATGAACATATGGAGCACTTGATTTTTTTTATCTATACATTCAATTTTAATTGCTGGGAAAAATATTGCAATATGTAGTGATATTGCAATATCATCATAATATCGATCAGATCCAAGTATAGTGACACGTATCGCATCACCCATTCCAATACTCACCCCTAGTGTTGAGTTACATCAGAGTTGCTGCCTCTATTTTTCTATGCTTTTGTTTTTTTTTTTTGCCTCCTCCGACACAAACAAAAACACGCCGAGTTTTTTCCATTACCTAAGTGCTCCATCATCCCCTTCACATGCACTGATTTAACCCGAGCTGTTTCACTTCCATCTATTTGATAACATCAGAACCCAGCATGACGGGAGACTTTTATTTTAACCCACATTCAGCTGCTGGCTCGGCTGTTTTCCTGATGTTTGGCAGGGGAATTCATAGAAGTAGCTGAGCTCGGCTGTGTAAACCACATCCTGATCTCTCTGCTACTACATCCACCTGCCATATTTAGACCCACATCTACATCCGTGTGCTGAATTATTTATAAAGGACACCATGACAGCTTGTTGCTCTTTACGCAGTTAGATATGCGCAAGAATCATTGTTGCGATTTAAAAGGCTGTAGCTTGAAACTTCCTCCTAAATACAGTATTATACCTGCTTATATTTTATAGAATATATCCATATTTTACAGTCTGTTGTTGCCTTTTAGCTTAACATGAGAACGTAGTCATTTAGGTGCTAACTGTAAATGTTCAGCTCCATCTCGTATTGAACCTTTAAGTATTCTCCATTAGTTTAAGCTGTAATCCAATACCTCTGTCTGTTCTCCTTTTGGCCCAAAGGAGAAGAGATCTAATTTCCTTTCCGGCACCAGGCCTCCGAGTTGTTTTTGTTTTGAGCAAAGCATAGGCTGTCTTTTAGATCTCGGATAGTCTGACAAGTATTAGTGTTCAGTCAGAGATGATATTGCCCAGAGTCTTTGATTTCATTTCCCTCGAGCAACCAGTCAAACTAATTATATCAAAGGAGTGCTGCGAGACATTAGGACCTTTTCCATCCTCTTGGAGTTTACAGCTACTAAACGATGACTGAGAGGATGAAGCTCATCAGGAAATGACATGTTTTAATAGACTTCTAAGTTCTGCTTGGAGATGAACCGATCAGAGGCTTATTTTTTATCCTGATTCCTAAATTTCTGTTAAGTTTTGATCCACTGGTGCTGATTTCAGTTTCTCAAAGAGTTGGACTATTTATCATAAAATATATTTGTATATTTTTCTCTATTAGTCTAATTAATTACTTCAGAAATAAGAGGTCAACAGACTGGTCACTCCCTAAAAATACAGATAAATTGTATTATTATTCTTATGCATTAATATTATTATTATTTCACTTAAAAATTTTAATAAAAACAAAATTAATTTACTTCCAAAGTAATTCATGTGAACTAATTCTCAACATTTTAAATAAATCATCCATCCATATTTTCCGTCATGCTTTATTCCTGCTGGGGTCGTGAGGGGTGCTGGTGCCTATCCACAGCTGTCTACGGGCGAGAGGCGGGGTTTACCCTGGACAGGTCGCCAGTCCATCGCAGGGCAACACAGAGACAAACAGGACAAACATCCATGAATACACTCACACCTAAGGAGAATTTAGAGAAGCTAGTTAACCTAAATCATGTTTTTGGGACTGTGGGAAGAAGCTGGAGTACCCTGAGAGATCCCACGCATGCACAGGGAGAACATGCAAACTCCACGCAGAAAGAAGAGCCGGTAGCAGTGCTACCTACTGCGCCACCGAGCAGCCCTTAAATAAATAATTTTTTTCAAATTTAGATGTCATTATTTAACCGTAATTTTTATAAAAATTTTATTTTTCACCATTTTATGTGTTTGATAAACAAGTAAGTAGCTCAACTGGTAAGTCACCCGTCCTGCATACAGGAAGCGTAGGTGCGTATCCCAGCTGGGGTGACTGTTGGGGGGATGCACTTTTTTTATAATTCTTTTATAATAAGAGAACACTCTCAATTTATGCAAAGCCTCTCTAAAAATGGGAGGCAACAACATTTCAGCTTTAAAATTAGATACTACAAACCAAAAAGGAATATTTTCATCCATAGTCAAAGCTGCTCACTGCTAATAGATGCAGTTTGTAGTTTTGTGTAATAGATGTGGTTTGGAAAAATAAACTCTTATGAAACCTTCAATCGAAAAATTTAAAACATTTAAATCTGTTTTGATGCCCTTGGATTTCATCTACATACAAATAAATAAGAAAATCCATTAACGAGAAGCAAAGGTTCTTAGATTTAATCGAGGTAAATTGTGAATTAATTTTGTTCGGGGTATGTCAGAAAGTTCTATATTTTATTTACACTGTAAAAACCTACGGTATTAAAAATAAGTATACAAAAATCTTAAAATAAGTGCATTTGCCCTTAATGTGAGCAGGTAAATAAATGAAAAGGATGTTCTGCCAATAAAAGGTGGATGTTTGCTCTTAAAATAAGATAATTAAATAGTCCTAACTTGAAAAAAAGGAGTAGTTTTTGTTTT